TGTATACACGTGTGTGTGTGTGTATGTATATATTAATATATGTGTGTGTGTGTGTATGTATATATATATATATATATATGTGTGTGTGTGTGTGTGTGTGAATGTATATATATATATACTACCTTCTCAATTGGTGTGCGTGTCTTCCCCTGACACACATACAGGTATCGCGAGCAGGAAATGTCAGACAACGACGCGTTTGTGGACTTCCTGCTGTCGATGTGCTGGGTAGTCTCTCTAGACACGCACCGTGGTTGGAAGGGAGTTCACCCAGACGCGGATGTGTTCCCCAAAGTACTGTACTATTCCGATACGCTCTCCGAGGTATGTATATGCGGATATATGTTTATATGCTATATGCATATGTATACACATATATATGTAGGAAATATAGTACAGGTTTTTTGTGTGTATATGATTTTTCAGATGTGTATATGTATATGTATATAGGCAAGTGTATGTAGGCGTTTATATATGGGAATCTATGTGTGTATGTAGGTGAGACAATGTATATCGTTTTTGTGTCGTTCTTCGCCCTTATATCTGAATCCATACCTGCAATGCAGATGTTTTCTTTTTTTTACAAATTCATTCGCCACAAAATCAATAAACAAATCCGGACAACCATATTAAAGTCGATATGTGTTGGTGTTTGTATGGCTCCACACGCCCAAGAACCGCCACTCAGTGACGAACTGCGCAAAAGCGTGTACGTCCCTCTCACACTCTACATATAGTCCTGCAACTGCATCTTCTAGTGTAACATAGTCGGACTACCCACTCTGCAGCAACCTCCAATCATCTGATAGCAAATCATTCTCATCACAGTGAAATATATATATATATATATACGTACGGCTACTTTCCGGACCCTTTCACTCACCACTGACATTATCCCATATAAATATACCGCCGATGCTCTTTAGGCTTATAGCTTGCACAATCCATTCTCACTTCTTCCCTGCCCTCTACAGCTGGTCCTGGACTGCCCCTCTCTGGTGCACGACATCCCCGTGAGCCAACACCGTGCCAGCCGAACCTCGGCCAAGACTAACAACGCCAAGACACGCTCACACTGGTCACTCTCACACTCAGGCAACCACACACCCACACACCCCACACTTACACGCAGACCCCTCCACACCTACACACACACACACACACACACGTCGTCGATAGTTAAGGGTTCGTCAGGTGCGAATAGGGGGACGGTCCTGTCCAATAACGGGAGAGGGGGTGTGGCCAGTCGTACTTTGAGCTCGCCTGTACCGTTGCGCTTAGCCGATTTTGTACCGGATGGAGATGTACCTCCAGCTACACCCAGACCCAGGTATGACCGATATGCATGTGCACGAATAAATGACAACTGGTATATATACGTGTGCATATGCTTATGCATAGACAGGCATAGGCATATGCATAGGCATAGAATACATCTGCAAATACATATTCATATACATTACAAATAGAGAGAAAAAATACAGATACATATACATACATACATATATATATCTACGTGTGTCGATATATATATCTATAAATATATATATATATGTGTGTGTGTGTGTGTGTATATGTATATGTATGTATATATATATATATATCGTCATAGAAATAATCGCAACTCGTCTTCAATCGTAGTGTCTGTGTTTATTGTGTGCGCTGATACTTTGTCATTTTATCTACTTCTCAATCAGATTTGCGACGTGTCTGTGACTGTGGCTTTAATTGTAGCGCCAAGATTGACAACGGACTGTTATCAGTATCTTACTTGCTGTTGCACTTCGTGTACGTGTTGATGCTGAGAGACTGGTTGTATTTATTTACATTTTGGCGTATCTGTGCGATTGATCAGGCCCCTTGACTATGTGTTCTATTACCAAGTCTTAGCACTGTATAGCTGCGTTGGCTCCGATCTAGTCTCGTCATCGCCACGCCGGGTTCTGGTACGGATGATGTTACTACTTGTTCTCTATTTACATTCAACATCCAACCCATACCAGATTCGAAGAAGAGTCATCATTATTGGGCGACGCAGACAGCAGACAGCCGTCAAAGACCACGCTAGGGGATCGTACTACAGCACTCTCCATGCCCGGCAGCCCGGTGATACGAATCAACGACCACTCTCAGTCCCACTCCTCGCCCGGCCGACCCATCGCCCCAGTGATCACACTCGACGAAGCACGTGCGCAGGCCGATTCGGGAGACGATACACCTACACCCATACCAGCTCATAACCGACGACAGAAATACTCGCATAAAGGAGCGGAGATGGAGAAGGGGACAGATGCCGTGACCTATAACGCTAGGCATAGTAAGAACACACCTACACGTTTAGATAACAGAAATAGCCCATCAGACAGTGACGAGACGTCTGAAGAACTGAGCAGGAGGTCGTCCGAAACACTCACCGTGTTTGCCGAAACAACCACGTCGGTGTTACGGACAGGTATACATATTCTCAATAGTATACAAATATGTATGTATGTTATTTGTTTTGTATTTGGTTGTTATATATATATATATATATATATATATATATATGTATGTGTATGTATATGTATATGTATATGTATATGTATATGTATATGTATATGTATATGTATTATTATTATGTGCATGCACACGTATGTTTATATTTTTATGTATATGTATACGTGTATGTATATATATAATGTATGTATATGTATTATGTATGTATGTATATGTATTATGTATGTATGTATGTATATATGTATGTTTGTATGTATTATATATATATATATATATATATATGTTTGTGTGTGTTATC